GAGAGTCAGTGTGTGTGGGACTGTACCCCAGTGAGAGTCAGTGTGTGGGGGACTGTACCCCAGTGAGTGTCACTATGTGCAGTTCCTCAGCTAAGTCTTCTCTCTTTCCAATCTCTTGTATTTCTCCTGTTGATTTTGTAACTGCAGAGGAACAAAAACAAAAGAAAACATAATGAGGTATGATACCTCTCATCATCCAGCTCCACACTATCCGTGCCTGACTTTACTGCCACATCGAGCCACCTGCCCACTTTCTACCTGAGTGTTCTTTCTTTAAATCATTCATAGGATGTGGGCCTCCCTGGCCCGGCCAGCATTAATCACCCAGATTGCTGTGTGTGTCAACTACATTGAGTGGGTCTGGATTGCCATGTAAGTCTGACCTGGTAACAATGGCAGACCCCCTTCCATAAAGGATGAGCCCGATAGGGCTTGACAACAGTCACTAATGCTTACACAGTCACCATGAGGCTGGCTTTTTATTCCAGACTTTCATTGATTTGAAATTTCACCATCTGTCATAAACACAAACATAATTTCTTTTCTTCTTTATTCATTCACGGGATGAGGGTGTCGCTGACCAGACATCATTTATTGCCCATCTCTAATTGCCCAGAAGGCAGTTAAAAGTCAACCACATTGCTGTGGGTCTGGAGTCACATGTAGGCCAGACCAGGTAAGGATGGCAGTTTCCTTCCCTAAAGGGCATTAGTGAACCAGATGGGTTTTTCCAACAATTGACGAAAGATTCATGGTCATCTTTAGACCCTTAATTCCAGATATTTTATTGAATTCATATTCCACTACCTGCTGTAGCAGGATTTGAACCCAAGTCCCCTGAATGTTATCTGGGTCTTTGGATTAACAATCTAGCAATAATACCATTAGGCCATCACCTCCCTGCTGGGAAAATTCAGCAGGTCTGGCAACATCTGTGGAAAGAAATTCGAGTTAACCTTTTGGGCCCAGTGACTCTTCCTCAGAACTGATGGTAGCTGGGAAAATGCTGATTTTTTTATGCAGAAGAGAGGCTAAGGGGAGTTGGAAAAGATTAAACAATATGTGGAGATATGGCCCAAAGAGAAAGGATAACAGTTGGACAGGCAAAGGGGTGGATAACGGTCAGCTGGGGAGAGCAAATTCCTACTCACTGGGACCATTACTGACTAACAATGAGTGGTGTGTAATAGCAGACCATGTGATAACAGGGCCTGGTGTGTGGGAGTTGGGGTAAGGACATGGGAAAAGGTGCCTCAGGCCCTAAAATTGTTGAATTCAATATTGAATCTGGAGAGCTGTAGGGTCCCCAAGCGGAAAATGAGGTGTTGTTCTTCCAGCTTGTGTTGGGCTTCGCTGGAACACTACAGCAAGCCAGAGACAGAGATGGTGGCCAGGGAGCAGGGTGGTGTGTTAAACTGGCAGGCAAGTTGAAGCTCAGGGTTTTCCTTGTGAGCAGAATGTAGATGTTCTACGAAGTGGTCACCCAGTCTACACTTCGTTCCCCCAATGTAGAGGAGACCACATTGTGTGCAGCGGATGCAGTAGACTAGATTCTGGGAAGTGCAGGTGAAGTGTTGCTTTACCTGTAAGGTGTGTTTGGGCCCTTGGATACTGGGGAGGGAGGAGGTAAATGGGCAGGTATTGCACCTTTGCCGGTTACAGGGCAATGTTCCATGGGGGTGTGGAAGGATTTTGAGAGTGAAGGAAGTGTGGACCAGGGTGTCCCAGAGGGAATGGTCCCTGCAGAAGGCGGACAAGGGAGGGGAGGGGAATATGTGTCTGGTGGTGGCATCTCGCTGAGGTGGCAGAAATGGTATCTGATGATCTTCTGGATGTGGATGCTGTTGGGATGGTAGGTAAAGACAAGAGAGATACCTTTACCTGGTACATCTCTGACTCCTCCCTTCCCTTTCTTGACATCTCTGTTTCCAATGCTGGGGATAGACTGGAGACTAATATCCACCATAACCCCACTGACTCCCACAGCTACCTGGACTATACATCCTCACACCCCACTTCCTGTAAAGACACCATCCCATTCTCCCAGCTCCTCCGTCTCCATCACATCCGTTCTGATGAGGCCAATTTCGATAAGGAAGCCTTTGAAATGTCCACCGACAATTCCCCAGTACCACAGTAGACAGAGCATTCAGCTGTGTCTGATCCATCTCTCGCACTTTAGCCCTCACCCCTTCTTTGCACTCCTACAAAAGCGATAGTGTCCCTCTCATCCTCCCTCAGTACTGACCCCCCGACAGTGTGGCACTGCCTCAGTACTGACCCTCCGACAGTGCGGCGCTCCCTCAGTACTGACCCTCCGACAGTGCGGCACTCCCTCAGTACTGACCCTCCGACAGTGCGGCACTCCCTCAGCACTGACCCTCCGTCAGTGCGGCACTCCCTCAGCACTGACCCTCCGACAGTGTGGCAACTCCCTCAGCACTGACCCTCCGACAGTGCGGCACTCCCTCAGCACT